GTTTCGATACTCAGTTCTATTCGATTCAATTGGCTTTGAGCGATAGAACAAATTCTCTACCTTTATTGATGAGTAAGCACAAGGTTGCTATTGCATCATTTATTAATTATACAGACTACCTGACGCTTCGGCGATTCCGCCTTCTTCAGAGAGTGGAAAGGTCGAATAATAACCATAGAAGACAAAACTTTAAAATTTATTTCTGACTGCATCTTGACGTTTTGAAAGTGACTCCCAAGTCCGACTTTCTATTAACCTCGTCATTGATTGAATATATCTTTCTACTTCTGTTCAGCTAACACGAGGTGCTATTTTATTTCTTTATTTACGTACAAGCTGACGCTTCGGCGGATTTCGCCTTCCACAGAGCCTGGAAAGGTCAAGTTGACAGCAATCTATTCGGCCAAAGACCTCCATAACCAAACAGGGAAAACGCTAAACCAAAATTTCAATCACATTTAGCATAGCTCTGCACACTCACCGCTTTCTATGAGTCTTCCACTGAGTATGTCGCGTGAAGACCGACCGCACCAAACTCACATGGAAGCGTAATGTGCTCCTCCCATCAGAATAACTATATTATATATATAACTATAACTATAATAACTATATTCTGATGACTCATAGAAACTCATAGACTCATAGAAAGCGGTGAGTGTGCAGAGCTATGCTAAATGTGATTGAATTCTTGGTTTAGCGTTTTCTCTGTTTGGTTATGGAGGTGTTTGGCCGAATGGATTGCTGTCAACTTGACCCTTCCAGGCTCTGAGGAAGGCGAAATCCGCCGAAACGTCAGCTTGTGCGTAAATAAAGAAATAAAATAGCACCTCGTGTTTTGAAAGTGTTTGGCTGCGTAAATTGCACGTCAATTCGACTATTTCAAGTTCTGAAGAAGGTGGAAAGAAATTACATCTGCCATTCGTTTCTTTTTCTCTCAATCGCCGTCCATGGTGATGGTTTCATTCGAGTACGGAGGCAGGTGTATAGTCTAATTCCGTAATCTGTAAAACAACGGCGGCTGCAGTGTACAGCCGATTGACTTTGGTTATGAACACATCCGCCCAACCTACAGGTACGTGGCCGCCCTAGGGAAAGCCGGCATTCTCTTTGAGTTCACTTTACAGTTCTTTTTGTCTATATGTCGTCTGTTCTTCTCATTATGTGACGGGTCCGCCTGTGTTTCGTTATCCATGTATAAACTCCCAGATCCCGAAGATGTGACAGATTTCGAAGGTCAGAGCTTCGCATTCCGGCTACATGTTGAGAGTGTCGGCTATACTTCAGAAGACATCGCTCAAGCGCTTTGTAAGTAGATCGAAGTATTCTCGACGTATTTGAAGTACCAACCCACGTCTCTGCAGCATAACAGGGAACTAGGAGGGCCGTAGAATTATGGAGATGAGCGCGGATTTTCGGGTCCTTCAGTTGGTCGGTGGCTTCTTTGAGAGGCCCGAATGCGGCCCAGGCTGTTTTCCTTCTTCATGTTGTTTTCCATGTTCATTGTTCGCCCAAGGTAAACGTACGAGGTGGTCTCTGCAATGAGAGAGCCATCCAATTCAATTTTTTCGCCTTCGCACTATGGGCTTTTCATGAACTGGGTCTTCTTTGAATTTATGTGAAGTCCGATCTTTTCCCCCGCTTCGTTGAGCTCGTTGATTATCACCTTTGCATCGCTGCTACTTCTTAAGGAGATGACGATATCACTCGTGAAACGAAGGTTTGATGAGAAATTTCCATCAACCCGTATGCCTTTCTCACTCCAATCGGGTGGCATCATTATCCACTGCAGTCCAGAAGTAAACAGCTTTGGACGTATTGTGTCTTCTTCTCAAACCTTTTTTCCCATGGGTTTTGCAAGAGGTCAATGGAAAAGCTGCACTTTTGTAGTGCACTTCGGTTAACAGTGAGGCAGAGCTCATGTGCAGGAGGGGCCATTGGTCTGCGAGAGCTTTCATGTGAAATACAACCAAGGTGAAGATTGTGGTTCCAACTTCAGCCGCAACTTAACTGGGTTCAATGCCAATTCGAGCTTCCCACATCATTCCCTCTGACAGGTGATTGCTGATGGCAGTGATCGATAAAAAACTAGGTGAGAGGCAGGCGAAACGAAAGACCCACATAGGGTGGTGGTGAGCGCTTTAGCCCTTGGAAAGGGTAATAACGTGCTCATTTCCTACCGCAGACACCCGGCGTCCGGAGTTTTGCAAATATATCAGCATTATTGTGGCTGTATCACACATGATACCCCGCCGTGGAAAATTATAACAGGCGTTAAATAAAAAGGTTAAGATTGTGATAGGTCCCAAGATCGACTTTCTCTTAACCTCGGCATTGGAATATGAATGTGTCGTTTTCTTGTTCAGCAATCGCGAGGTTTTTAAACAGCATACATTTACTTCCATAAAAACACAATACAATACAACGCTAGCTGATGTTTCGGCAGTATCGCCTGCTTCAGAGCCGCTTTTTCGTGACTTCCAATGAGGAAGTTTAGAACAGCTGATTATAGTCGCATGTGGTTGACGACTGCACCATCCCACATCAAAAATCGATGCGAACGTACGGGATCAGGTCGCGTATGACCTCCGGGCATTCGTCCCTGCTATTCATTGTAGGGTTTTTGGCATTGATCCAAAAAACCTCTAGGAGTTTTCGGTGTTGTGGTGTTTTGGACTCCTGTGCAAGGATATTGACTTTCACTTCAAAATCGTTGAAGCGTTTGGCCTAGTAGATTGTATATGACTATACCCTTCCAGGCTCTGAAGAAGGCGATACTGCCGAAACGTCAGCTAGCGTTGTATTGTATTGTGTTTTTATGGAAGTAAATGTATGCTGTTTAAAAACCTCGCGATTGCTGAACAAGAAAACGACACACTGTGATAAGATTTCGTTCGTTTATTGTACATTTGTTAGGTCTTCGGGTCACTTTCACTTCCAATCTCAAAAAGCCGTACGTCTTTCCGGGGTTGACAAATTGCTACCGCTCTTCTTTCCGAGAACAAAATTATTGATATGGCACATCTATAAGCTCCGGTCTATCTTCGTATTGGTCATTCAATCACTATTTATTTGCTTGATGGAGTGGAATGTATGACGCATCGTACAGGAATTGGTAAATTTTTTCGGACAATCTATGTACCGCACCAAGGGTTGTGATTGACTAGATGCTCAAATCGTCAGATATTTGTTTTCTATAGGTTTTAACCATGTTCGTAAATTTTGGCTGTTATTTTGCTATGGATTACCATCAATGTACTCTTAACTCGTTAACGATTTGTTAGGTGTAGGTATTATATACTATCTCTGTAACTGATCACCCCTTACTGTGGGGAAGCTCTGATGGTTGTAGCCTACTACCTGATTAGCTGGTTCATTTAGTATAATGAAGGAATTTGTGAGAAAAAATGCTGCAGTGTGTGGAGGAACAACTTTTCTTTTTCTCGTTCGTTAAATTGGTGAAATGTTCTGCGCACTTTGCATACACTGCGTGAATGCTGGCCTTCTTTCTTTCTTCTGCTTCCCAATTTCTCTTAGAAACGACGTTTCCTAAGACACAGATTGACGAATTCACAAGTCAGGAGGTGTTGGCCCAATCACATTTTCAAATCGTTTTTTTCTATCCGATTGCAATTTATACCGATTAGATATTGAGATCATGTCAACGTATTGCATTCCACTTCGTCGTCCATAAAGGGTTTCCAGGACGAGATATTTTTCCATTGTTTAGACTAAACCGTCTAACTTGGTGCTGCATGTGACGACTGAATTCTAGGAATCATCTCTCAAACGCTCAGGGTGGGTGATGTAAGAATACCTTACGCCTCTGCTAAGACAAATCTTAGCTGTACAGTAGAAATATGGGAAATATGATACTTGGTACTTGAACGCCCCGCCATAACTAGTTGTGCGGTCCCCGACATAATCACCATTTTTTGGAAGTTTGCTGGTTAAACTATTGTGGTTCTCTGGAATCCCGAGGACAGCCTAGCCAAAGACTGTCCCAGGTCGTCTCCACGACAGGCAGTCGTAGCCCTCGTGGATCAGATGGAGATTTATCACCATTAATCTTTGATACCAAAACAGTGGTGGATCCTGGTATTGGTTTGCTCTTAGCTAGGCTTCCTGATGGAAGCACTGGACTCCTTCTCAGCTTGGGAAACCCTTCCGGAGTGACGAATCCCCCCGCTGTACATCGCTGTTCGACACCCAGGAACACCCAGCCACGATGAGAAGGTAAACCGTTGGGGGAATGGGAAATATGAGGTATAGAAAATATGCGCTCGGCTATTTTACTACAACTCCGTAATGAACAATGAGGAAAATACAATAGTGTGTGGATTCTAAAGTGCAGGTAGTTTTAGTCTGATCTTTTGCTGAACAGACACTTTAATTTAGGCAGAAATCAATAGGCACTGGGAAGCGGTCATTTCAAAGCAAAAAAGAAAAACAAGCTTTTAAAAAATGCAGCAACCTGAATGCGTACAATGAGTTCATGCAAAAAGAATGCACAACTGAGTAAGTGAATCAATGAAATTGTTTATGAGTTAATGGTTCGAAAATAAAAAAGGAGAAAGGGAGAAAAGAATGACAAGCTTTTCGTTTAAGCCACTGAGCAACCAAATGCTTTGAGATGACAGAGATTTGAAGGAATCTAATTCCTAACTAGACTCTATGTGGTACAGATCCAATTCATATCACGAAGCTTACGCTTCTATGGGTGAGGCTATAAGGCGCATCTCCAGACGATTAGAAAGAGGACATGAGAGAGAGGTGGTTCGGTTTCACCTTTACAGACGAAGCCTTTTCATGGCAATGTCTGACAAGTTATCTCTGAATTTCATTTAGCCAGTAAATGTAGAGGTTTCCAAACGAAAAATATGATGCTGTTTGTTTCTCTCACACCAGTGGACGGTGAAGAAGTACATGTAAAGTACCTATTTGGAACTTTATCACAACATTGAACGTTATCGTATTGTAGCCGGTTTTTCAAACGTAAACGTCTATGCAAGCTTCACTAGTATTATTGTAACCACTAAAGAAATGGCAGCCGCTACAGGGAAGCAAAGCAACCAGACAATGCATATTTTACGGAACGTCTTAAACGAGACGCCTTCAGTTGTTGATTTAGTCATGCCGACAAACAGAACTGCTCCAACGGCACAATGGGTCGACGAAACCGGAATGCCTGAAACGAGAGCTTCCTCAAAATGAGTAGTTTCTTTGACATGCTAACGATTTATCTATACTATTATCACGCAGGACTCCTAGTAAACAATCAATAGGCATCTTTGTTGCATACCGGCTTTCACGCACACCAACACCGTGAAAGCAGTGCCGAGTTCGATAGCGAATCCAGAAACTGGACTCATGTCGACCGTAATCTCCTGTGCAATCAGTTTAATCGTACGATGTCCCAACGACAAAAATCCGAAGATCATTGCCACTGCACCAAATGCAAGCAACACCTGAAAACCAATGATACGTGTTCTGTTTAGGAACACAGTTTTGTTACGTTTTTATTTGGTTTTATTGCCCTTGGAGCTGTTACATATTAAGTGCAAGTTCTTTAGGAAATCAGATTCCACTAGGAATGCTGAAAGGTATGTTAAAAACCGAGTAGATCGGTTTAGATGCTCGTTGAGGAAATCGATTGATAGAAGAGGAGACAGTACTAATATTTTCTGTTAAAAAAAAGCGCTTTGAAATTGACACGAAGCGAAAATATTGCAAATCTGTCTTGTATTTTAAACTCATTCTATTTTTCACTAATAATCATAGCCTTTATCACTTTGGACTCCACAGAAGTATTCTCATGCATTTTTCTATCTTATATATCGTGACTTTTTAAAATATCGCTAATAGTAATGAGCAGGTGCATTGGTAGTGATGGCGTTCATTACGCGTAAGGAGCTTCTTCTTCTCTTCTCTGGCCGTTCAAGCTTCATCCAATCTCTCTGGAGTAGCAAAATCGGTACTAGGTTTGCCTGGGTTCAGCTTGCTCCTACAATCTACAAAAGCGAACATCTGTGGCGAATACCTGAACGAACCGAACCAGGGTTGCTCCAGTACTAGAGGTAGAGCAAAACCGACCAACGATCAACGAAATTTATGAGAAAGCCAAAAATTCCCAAGCATCAGTCGAATCCACAAGCAGATCGAAAAACATTCATCGACGATGGACGTCAGGAAACGATTTTAGTAAAAGAACTTTTGGGATCCGAAAATATGTAATAACGGGTCATATAATTGCATGATAAACTTTTTTAATACTTCCTTCTTTCATCTGACCCCATCCATTCCGCACTGAATCCATTGCTGTCAGACCACACGCCTTTATCGTTTAAACACAGAAAGAAAGTTATACTTTTAAGCCTCCACTTAGTGACTCTTAGAAAGCATTGTAACCAAGCGACGACCTCATAGAGAAACATTTATATCCGGTCAAAATCAAATAGTAACCTGAGAATCGTCTCTGGTTTCCGCAGCACCGAACGCGTAGCCTGTATGGTAAGTCAACCAGACTGCCAGCAACGGACCTACAGTATTGGCGGTATCGTTGGCACCATGAGAAAATGATAGTAACGACGAGGAGACGATCTGTAGGGCATTGAATACCTAGGAAATATCGAAATCTTTAATTAAACAGTTGTAAAACCCTTACAAAAACAGTAGTTGATAAATGCTAACTCGTTGACTAGGGGTTGATAGAGGTTAATAAGGAACTGATAAAAATAAATGAGTGTGAACACTTAAGTAAACCGCTGGTCATATTTGAAAATGTAATATTCACTATGATACACAACTAATAAATTTTTTATTTGACGTAAAATACTTTTAGATGAACCTCGTGCTTAGATTCGGGATGTTTTTAAAACTTTGTTAACTGCTGGTACGTCTCGTAATAAATCCCACGACCGACTTTCTGTTAACCTCGGCATTTCTCAAGTAATTTTACTCAGTAGAAGACTCATAGGAATCGGTGAGTGTGCAAAGCTGTGTTCAATGTGATTGAAATCTTGGTTTAGCGTTTCCTTTGTTTGGTTATGGAAGTGTTTGGCCGAATAGATTGCTGTCAACTTGATTTTCCAGGCTCTGAAGAAGCCGAAATCCCCCGAAACGCCAGCTTATTCGTGAATAAGGAATGAAAATAACACCTCGTGTTTGCTCAACAAGAGTACGAAGAATTATTTATTAACTGCATTTTCGTAAATTCTTGTCAGAAGATTACCGATAACATTATATCCTTACCGTAATTAACTTTAGTGAAATGTGGTCTGATGATCAATAAAATGGTTTTTCTTCTTTTCGTTTAACTTTTAAAAAATAGGGGCTCTTACATATAGCTCCAAAAATGTTGCCTTACCCAGTAAAAAAACAAAACAAACAAAAAAAACATTGCAGTCACAAGCCAAAAAGTGAAAATTTTTCTAAAAATGATTTAAAAAATATTAATCGATTTCACCCAGTCCTTCTAACGTTTTTAATTCTGGGGAAGAAGTTCTGGGCAGTAAACGTTACTATGCATTGTTAGATTTCCAAAAGAAAAAACCTCATTCCAGTTTCCTCCTCAAGGACTCTGTTGTGAGCTGTAGCACAATAGTGTCATCGTAGTTCAAATGCCGATTGTAATAATATAAGGTTAATATATATAGGAAAAGAGGTTCAACAGAGCGACATAATATCGCCAAAGCTGTTCAGTGCCGCACTGCAGTGGATAATGAAGTCACTCGATTGTGATGAGAAAGGCGTACGCAGTGATGGAATGTTCCTATCAAACCTTCGTTCTGCCGACGACATTGTCATCTTCTCAAGAAGTAGCAGCGATACAGAGGTGATGATCAACGAGCTCAACGAAGCGGGAAAAAGAGCGGACTGTGCACAAATCGAAACAAGACCCAGCTCATGAAAACCCATGGTGCGAAGGCGAAAAAATTGAATTGGTTGACTTTCTCAATGCAGAGACCACCTCGTACGTTTACCTTGGGCGATCAATGAACATGGAAAACGACATGAAAGAGGAATTAGGTAGAAGAAGGAGAGCAGCTTGGGCCGCATTTGAGCCTATAAAAGAAGTCACTAACCAACTGAAGGACCCAAAAATCCGCGCCATCTCTTTGATACTACGGTCCTCCCAGCGCTCTGTTATGCTGCAGAGACGTGGGTTAGTACTTCATTCACGTCACGAATACTTCGGAGTACTCACAGAGCACTTAAGCGATGTCTTCTGAGATATAACCGGCACTCTCAATATCTAGCCGGAATGCGAAGCTCTGATCCTCAAATTCTGTCGCATCCTCGAGGTACAAGGGAATATACATCGATTGCGAAATATAGATGGGCCGGCCACATAATGGGAAGGACAGACGACAGATAGACGAAAACAACTGTAGAGTGGACTCCAAGAGAATTCAAGCGTCCCCCAGGGCGACTACCTACACATTGGGCGGATGTGTTCGTAAACAAAGTTAATCAGGCGTACCAGCAGCTGCAGCTGTTTTACAGATCAAGGTATGAGACTCGCACGCGCTACTATGCTCGAACAAGTCCACCACCATGTGCTACGATTGCGAGAGAAAGGAGCTAATGGCATATGGGCAGGGGTCCTCACAATTCGTGAAGACGGACCGTCCAAGTAAGTGACAAGCCAAATAGTATGAGAAAAAAGCTAAAAGCTAAAGGATAAAGCTCTTGGCGTTGATCAATCACTGAGGGATGCGCCATGTATTTGACTTCATTAAGGATCGTTAGAAGTGATTAAATGCATATCTGGCCGTTAAAATGACATGCGGTGGCTCACTGATCTGGTCCATCGATAATGATGTATCCAGTCAGTGCTGCTATGCTCCCAGACAAGTTTGGTACTAATTTTCCGAGCCCAGAGAGATGGAGGGCTTAGTGATCTTGGAGCGCGGTGTCCAGCCCATGTGTATTGCATGGCGCCTCTAAACAATCGGCTGCAAGAGCCAGTATATGAGAAATATAGATACATAAACTAAGTAAATGCAAAAGCAAATGGCACCCTAACACAAGGCTGCTAGCCCCATTCGCTAGAAATTTCTTAGAACAGCGCCTCAACCATTTTCCCGTGATGAGAACACATCTATTACTTCAGACTGGCTTTATTGTTTACGTGACATAGAGGCCACGTGTAGCGTGGTGCCCAGCAATACACATAGGGCCGAACCCACGCAGCAGGCTCACCTAAACCCTCCATTGAGACATTGTAAAGACCAGATATGTATTCATTCATCTCCAACGATACTTAATGAAGTCGAATGCATGGCGCATCCCTAAGGGATTGATCAACGCCAAGAGCTCTATCCTCTTATGTTTATTCTACACGACACAATATGGACGCTGAAATATTTTTGCGTACAATGTTATTCTAAAGTTTAAAAAAGCATTTCTAATAGATAAAAACTGCAAAAATAGTGAGATCTATAAAGGTAATTGAAAGACCTGTTAAGCTCGCCGTGGGCCAAATATTTTGCTTTTAGTTTGTTGGAAGGAAGAAACAGAAATTGTGTAAAGGTAGTGGCTGAAAATTGAAAAGTGATTTATTAGTGGTTGAGCTGGTTTTTTACTATCGCATTAGCCTTTTTCAGTAAAATTATTTAGCGATTTTTGCACTATCATTCCACTCTTTGTGGGTCATGATACCACGAAGTTTTCGCTCTCTTCTCGGATTATAACGGATTTGTTCAAAAAAGAATTATGATATTTTGATAATGTAGTAAAAAAAGAAAATATCTATGTTGACTTAAGAATGTAAAACCGGAAACCATTTTCTGACTAGAAATCTTGGACGAGAAATCTGAAAGGAAAATGGGAAATGCGAGTAAAAGTGGGAAATTCCGGCAATATGTAGCATTTAAGTGCCTAAATGTACCGTATAGTCCTCATTGCAAGAGGAGAAAGTAAATTACTGATTGCTTTGGTCAAATTAATTCTACACTAAGACACTAATTTTCACTAAAGCACTAAAGAAACTGTTATTATTGATATGATAACCGAAAAAGGTGAAACCTATGAAGGGTGTACGGTAATTAAAGCAATAATAAGCTTTAGTAAATGTAAGTTCGGTAAAGGGAATACGGTAGAGCACCACCTACCTTTGTTGTGAGACGATCCTCCGGCACTGCAGTGTAGAAATATTTGTACCAAGGTAAATTATGGATTTCTTCACTATTCATGACAGGTGTATGCATATCGGTGATTTTAGAGTGTTCTGAAAATCATATACTTTGTAAAACAGAGCCACTAAATCACGATTTATGGGCATTTTTTGGGAGGAATTTCAAATGGATCAAAGACTGAATGTTTTTTTCCGGCGAATTTAAAATAACCATAACAGATCTTAGTCTTTTTTATTTACTGCCTATTCTTTTTAATGGCAGAGTATGTTGCGAAAAAAAACCCGTATAATGCTGAGATATTTGCAAAACTCCGGACCGCAGGTGTATGCGGTGTGAAACGAACGCGCTATTGTCCTTACCGGGGAGTAACGCGTTCACCACCACGCCATGCAGGCCTATCTCAGCATTATACGAGTTATATTTCGCAACATACCTCGCCATTAAAAAGAACAGGCAGCAAATAAAAAAGGTTAAGATTGTGATTATAACTATAGCCTCAGTTTAACTGGGTTCAATGCCGATTTGGGCTCCCCAGACCAATTCCGTTGACGGGTGATTGCTGTTGGCAAGTGATCAATAAAACTAGCTGAAAAACAAGCGAAACGAAGGACCAGCATGGTGTGGTGGTGAGGTGCGCTACTCCCCGGAAAAGATAATAGCACGTTTGCTCCCAACCGCAGACACCTGCGGTCCCGAGTTTTGCAAATATCTCAGCATTATACGAATCATAACAGAGTTTACTTCTTAATTTACTGTCTACCACAATTTTCATGGCAGTGTATTATGCGAAGTCAACCACAACGATGTTAAGATAAAACTAGCTGAGACAAACGAAAAGCAAAGGCCTCTGTGGCGCAGTGTATAATACGTGTTCCCCCGGAAAGAAAAATTGTGGTTCGATCTGCCCCAGCGTCCAAGTTTTGCGAATATCTCAGCATTGTAATGATTAAAGTTTCAGAGATAAACAGATGTTTTCATTTTCGTACCATTTGCACTGAATTAAGAGATTTGTATTGAGGTTAATAAAAAGCATAATGCTCTCGTCGTTGCTCAATCTCTGAGGGATGCTCCATGCATCCGACTTCATCAAACATCTTAGAGGTGACTGAATGCATATTTGACCTTTACAATGATTCGCGGTGGCCTTCCGATATATCGAGCCAGTGCTGCTATCCTCCCGGACAAGTCTGCCACTAATTTGCGGACCCTGAGCAGATGGAAGGCTTGGTGGACTATGGGCGCGGGGATCGATTCCACGTGTGTGTTACAGGGCGCCTCCGGCCAATGCGCCATGCACGCCCTTTCTTTTGAGGTCACAACGAAAATTTTACGATTTTAGATTCTAGATTTGTTCCACTTTATTGTTTTTATTTGTGAAACAGTAGTGATTTTTTAGAAAATAGCACCAAAGAGATGAAAATCGGAAAAAAAATGCAGCAGAAACAAAAGTCTTGCCTTTTTTCAGATCTTATTTCTACAGTAATATTTCTAATGTCGAAAGAGGAAAGTGCACATACTAATTTTTCCTTGTTCCATACGTCGCTTATTCTCCTCTTGTTCTTCTTTAAGAAGTCGGCGCGCACGATTTTTTAGCCATTTCTGACAACGAGTACTGGTCAATAGAATTAACACGAAATTTAAAGTATTAAAATTTAATTAACTAAGTTTAAATTTAATTATTTAATCAAAATTTAAATTAATGTTCTGTCCTTAAAAAGTTAGTTAAGTCTGCAAAGTCAAGGTCAAAAGGAATTATTGATTTTTTTGGTTGTGCTTAATGTATGAGAATAGTAAAAAGCCTATTATTGTAAACGAAGAAGCTCACTTACTGGAAATAGAATTACGTACTAAAGGATTTAAAATGATAAAGGGGTTCTCGACTCAGAAATGTTGCTCATTTTGTAATCAGGATGTCCTATCGTTTATTTTCATTGCTCTTATTATCATTAAGGTTTTATTATTTCGCGTACTATTATTACGTTCTTTAGCGCATTTTATTTCTTCATCGACGGTCACACTAACCACTGCGCCATCCGTGCCGCATTATCACTAATGTTATTATGTTTTTCATCAATAAGCAGACACGAGGTTGTTAATATAGAATTTATTAGAACACAATTGCTGACGTTTCGGCGGTTTCGCCTTCTTCAGAGCCTGGAAAGGTCAAATTGAGATGCGATCTACTCAGCCAAACACTTTCATAACCCTAGCAGATAAAACTTGATAAATCGATTTGTGTTCGCATAAGAAACAGCTTCATTCAAACACCTACCGTTTATTTGTTGTAAGTATTTAAGTTAGTTGGTGGATAGCCGCCGCACAGAGTAATACATGGTCGATAACTGGGTCCATGTCAGATCATTGGATCAGCCTGAGGTATGGCGCTAGGTAACGCGTGATGACAAGACACTCCTCCTTGCGGTTCATTTTTGAATTTTTGGCATTGATCCAAAACGCTTCAAGAGTTTTTCGCGCTGATGTTTTCGATTCCTGCGTAAGGATAGTGACTCCTACCTCAAAATCTTCTCCGTTGTGTTCTTGCATCCTATGCGC